GATGTATTTATATTCTGCCAGCCAAAGGTTACCTTAGAAACTACAAACTAAGGAGTGGAGCAACATGGTGAGTTTCCTGTAGGAGAAAATTTAACTGAAAACACAGAGGTTTACCTCTGCATACAAGTACCTGACCATGAAGAACTTTTCACTGTGTGAACCATATTTTATTTCATATTGCCTGAAGACAATAAATGTAATGAGATCGACTCCCTCAAATTCTATAGGAAAGACAAGGGAAAACAGATTTTTAAGGGTGGCAAGGGACTCCTTTGACTTTTCATTCATTGGGTTTAATTGCGATTCTGACTGTGAGCCATCAAAGGAACCCTTGCCATGAACTGAAGCCACACAACTCCCCCGTGGGTGCTTTCTTTCGTCATTTGATGGTATAAACAAAGTCCTTTGTCCATGTCCCATGGTTGGTCCATCTGTTTGTAATGTTGCTGTTGTTGCTGCTGCATGTCTCATTAGTCTCAAGTGGTTTCCAGATTGTAATTTTATGCTTTCCTGTCAAAATTATTTCAGACCTGGAAGCTGCTTTGCATTGCACCTCTTGTGAGTGGACATGAAGCAAAACAAAAAATGATTTCCAAGAAAGCTGTTCCTTGGAGGTTTTTTTTTTGTTTTGCTGAGGATGACAGAGGAGCAAATGCTTTGCATCCCCTCTGCACCTGAAGTGACAGATCCTCAGACCTGTGTGCCTTTACTTCCCACTCATTTTCAACAAGTCTGATAGAGCTGGGCTATATCCATTTGTGGTGTTTAATATCTCACTGATGTAGCATGTCGGGAGCCTGGGTTGAAAAGCAGAAGTGTGAAGCAGTTTCTGAGAACCTGACCCTCTGAACCTGACCCCCTGAAGGTCACACTGGACGGCAGCTCTTACTGTGACCAATTTATCACTGCCTCTACCTGAACAGGAGCTCCCTGAGCTGACCTCTGACAACTCCTTGAGCTGCTACCACCGAGCAACCAGGATGAGTGCATTTCAAAAAGGAACCTGCATCACTACCAGACCATCTGCCCTACTCAGCCCCTTCAACAATGAAAGGGAAGAGCACACAGGGAAATTGAGCAGTTGATGAGGTCCATGAGAAGTAGCCAAGGTGGTGTCTCCCCATGTAAAACCACGGTCATGCAGATTGTGACCTGCTGAAGGGACACCTGACCAAAGGGATCCATCTCCTGGTTGGGTTCTTCTCATGGACATCTAAACCATCCCTGACTGCAGTGCAGACCCTCCAAACAGGGATGGATCCTCAGCACCTCAGCCAGGTCTGTCAGTCCAGAGGACAGACAAGCTGAACCTTTTCTCAAGTCACTGATTTCTGAGTCTGCCTTAGTGCTCCTTATACACCTCCTAAATAAAGCACAGATCCATCAGGAGACCACAGGCATATTAAATTCCATTTCTTTTCTCCAGAGAGACCTAGAGCTGCCATGTGAGCAGTGTGGTGCCATGACCACAAGCAGCCTGAAACATGCCAATGTCACCCAAGGGATCACAGAATCATAAAGGCTGGAAAAGACCTCTAAAATCACTGAGTCCAACAGGATGGGTGTGAGGAAGTGGAATAAGCTTCATTACACTGTTATGTGACAAAGGAGGTTCTAGGAGCTAATGAAAATACTGTGGAAAGAAAAGAAGTGTGCACAGAAACACCTTTGATTTGATTACAATAAAAAATTTATTTTGATTCACGTCATACTGAAAAATTAAATAAATAAAATGTCAACAAATGATTGCATGAGACTCCCCACCATTACAGAAAAAAAAAATCATAACCAATTGGGTAGTCAGAGAAAAATACAAAGAAAATCTGGTCATGGGAGGAAAAAAGTGCTCAAGAGATTTGGCTTTGGTAAAAAACATAACACACACTCAAGGAGTGCTTCAGAGATTTTGCAGTGGTGGCAAATGCAGTCCAGGAGTTTGAAGTGTTGACATGTTGTTAAATGCTTTCCTTGGTTCTTTTAAACCAAATAAACCTAAAAAGTTTCTAGCAAAAAACGACTCTTCAGCAATGGCAGTGGGAATTAATTCTTCCCTCAGCATCATCTGTTGGTATCTCCTGATTCTGAAGGCAATTGAAAGAGCAGCAAAATTGTGGAGGAACTGAGACAAGGACCTACCACAACAGACAGCTGCCTAAAGGACTCTAGAAATAAAGTTCCTCTGGAATACAAATGCGAGGGCACAGACTATTCCTGATCCTACACCTGGAGAGATCCACTTTCTGCTCTCCTCACACTCTGAAAATGGACATCAGTGGTACACAGTTAGTGCTTGCTGTTGTCAAGAAATTTTAATGGGAATTGCAGCTTGTTCCATGATGGAGACACTAAATCAATCTGCATATATGAGCCATGAGGTTTTATATGTGCTGTCAGAGGCAGAAGGTTCAGGGGAAAATGGAAATGTTATTAGAACGGCAAAAGGAAACCTTCAGAAGGACACAGACTAGCATACAGGTGGCCTCTTTTTCCACTGTTTTTGATTTCAAATTGATCCTTGTGATTAAAAAAATAATCAAGGGGATAAACCACCATGAGTTTTCTTCCAAGTCTTTCTAAAGATGACTGAAAGAGCAGTCAATCTTTCTGAATTACTGGTATCTGTCCATGAGAAAACAAAAAAAAAAAAAATATTTTAAGCTCCAAAATCCAGTCACACTGTGAAGTTATCACTGGCATCTTCCAGAAGTGTTTTGCCTCTTGAACTTGCTTTGTTTGTATTACTGCAGAATCTCACCAGAAGCTTATTAACAGCAATTTAAACAAGCAGGAATGCTTCAAGCAAACAAACATGGTTCAGGTAGAAACACTTCATTCTTTTACAAAAAGAGAGTGAGCCCATCAAACTTGCTGTGCTGTGACATGCAGGTGAGTCCTGCTGGTCACCGTGCTGGGAAGTGCTTCTTGGCATGAGGATCATGAACAGCTCTCATTGTGAGGATTTGAAAATCCTGCCCTTTTCATATCACTGAATTGAAGGGTCACACGAGCTGAGGGAGCCCAGTTCCCTGCACAAACATTTGAAATCCTCGGCTCTTTACACACCACGAGTCCAGCGATATTCGTGTGGGTGAGTATCACCACTGAAGGGCTTTCACTGAGCTCAAACACTCTGCTTGGACATTCTGACACAACTGGTGCAAAAAGTGGAAACATTCAGATGAAGATTTCTTTTGCCATAAACTCCAACCTATGGGATACATTAAAAATTAAATATGCCATTTTTCCCAAGCCTGATCAAAACTCCCTTGAAGTCTGTGGCAAGAACTCCTCTGGCTTCTCCAAGGCTGAATGTGGGTCAATATCCATGAGTACTGCTTTCATGATGTGGGGAAGAAAAGACCACTGTTCTTCAAACTTCACTGCCTGAACTTGGATTTATATTTTATCTGTCCTTGAGGCTTAGATGCGTTGATTCCAGGAAAAATCTGTGGATATAAAACCCCCACTGTAACTTCCCTCCTCTCACTGCCTAGAGGCACTGACATCAATATTCTCATTCCTCCAGAGATGCACATGATTTTGAAGTCTGTCTTGTGCTCTAAGGTCAGCTTGTGCAGATTGTGTCCTTGTAGGTGCTGCTACAGAGCAAAAGATTCTTGGTGTATTAGTAGTTGATATCCCAACCCATGATTTTTTTTCCATTTCAAACAGAGACCTTGTAAAGAGATACCACATTTTTAAATTTGTAAAAAAAACTAAGAAGAAAATTTTCCTTGGGACTTTTGAATATTTTCCCATAAAAAAAGGTAAAAGCTACCTTTAAAAATTGTATTGTTCGTGTTTGCTCAAATGCAATATAGGAGTTGTTATTATTGGTTTTGACTACAAAAGCATACCAGGACCAGACGCTAAACTTTGGTAATTTTTTCCCCCTTTTATAAAAAAGTTTAATTTAGGGTTTGTCATCTTAAAAAAAAAATCACATCTGCTGCACAATTATAAAAGGCACATATAAATGACTTGAAGAAAAGTCCACTTTCCAATTTTAAACTGATTAAATTAAAAACCCCCCAACATTCTGGAGTATTTTCCACAAAAAAAAGAAAAAAGAAAAAAGAACAAAAATTACATATAACCAAACGAGACACACAAGTGGCTAAAAAGGCCATTTTTTTCCCTGGAGTTTTCAGTACTATTTCTCCATCATTATGGCTGTGTAGGAATGGAATTTCTCCATCATTATGGCTGTTTAGAATACTAAATAATACATGATAAGAGATGTTTCGATTCATATTTTCTAGACCCTATCAATGCAAGATGAAGCAATGGTTGAAATATTTACTACTCCAGGCAACTTCATCATGTTTTTCCTTAATGCAGCATGAAAATGGAAGTAACAGAGAACACAGAAGAGATGGTTCAAAAAATAGATTAACAGCAGAAGTGAATTAATTTCTTTGAGGTAATCCTTACTATGATGTTCACAGTTGCCTTAGTGGGTCTCAAGTCCCAGAAGTCATTTTCACTCTTCTTCAAGGATCTCCTGCCTTGCTCGAGGAGAGAATGGACACACAGATAGCAGTTCCTGTGCCCAGGTTTCCTCTAATTGCAACAGGCAGATCTTTCGTCAGTAATTCAAGAATCAAGCTGTAGAGCCTAAGTAGAAATTAATTTATTCCCAGAACTGATTGCTGGCTCCCAGCTCTCTGCAGATAGGAAATCATGTGCAGCTTGGAAGCCGGCCCTCAGCCTTGCTCCCTGCAGTGTGAGATGCCCCAAATCCACCGCAGATCCACTCATTCAAACCCGCCTGGTGCCCAGAACATCTTCACTGAGCTTTGTTCTGCTGCATGCTGGAAATTGCAGCCCCCACTTGTCTCCGTGGCCAGGGTCATCTGCCCTTGAAAAATTTTATTTTTTCGATGGAGGCAAGAGTCAAAGTTATATTGAACTCAAAATCCCCGTCGTGGACGCCTGTCTTCCGGAAAGCCCCACCTGAGGTGTTGTTTTCCCAGTAGTGATGCCAATGTCCTTTGCTGTCTGCTCCAAAGCCATACACATTCACCTAGGAGGCAAGGGAGAGCTACTGTTACAGACTGGAAAGCAATTGCTCTTCATCTGAAATGCTGAAAAATCCCTTTATTCTCAGTGTATTTATAGGCAGCAGCAGCACCTGAGCTCCTCAGTGGTGTCCCAAACTCTTCTGCTGCATGACAACCATGGGAACAGCCCAAGGGATGTGACAGCCTAAGCTATGCTGAGACACCACCAGAGCTGAACTCAGAAGGAAAAGGAGATTTCTATCCATTAATTCTGGTTTAGCAATATGAAAATGCAGTCTTATCCCTTAATCATGACTGACCTCAGGAGATCAGTGGTTTGGGATGGAATCTTCTCTTTAGCTGATTTAGGCCACAAAGAGTGAAAAAAGATTAGTTTGGTCCTGCTCTTCCAAATAATGGCCTGTGTTGACCACACTTACATCCTTGATTAAATGATATTTGCAACTACTTCAGAGACCATGGATTTTATGTTCTTTTCATTATATCTCCACCTACAGCCTCTCCTCTCCCAAAGTCTCGTTTATCGACGGCTGTGCCTGTCTCCTCTGATGATAAAAAGTCCAAACATCACAGCAGATTTATTTAAACTGAGTTTGCTGATATGTGTGGCTGGATTTGAATGGGTCATAGCCACAAAACAAGCTCCCTGAACCACCCACACCCAGGCCCACTCAAATATGAGTTGGTTTTAAGTTGATTTTGGTAATGTTGGAGCCCTGTTCACTTCCTGCTTACCAGAAAAAAAGGCTCCACCCAATCTGGCTATGAGGAGAGTTTCTTCCAATACCTTTAGGAGTATTTCCACTGCCTCCCCAAGCAACAGAGGCTTGGGTAACCAAAGTTCTTTGATCAGCAGATCTGTGTCCAGGACAGGGATTTTGCCAGCAGAGTGATTTTCACCCCCCATGCTGATAAACCCATGCTCGCAGGATTTTGTAGAGCTGACTTGGCCTTACTCTAAACTATCTGAGTCTCCAGTCACGTTGGAGCACCTCTCATCACTCAAACCAGGGAATTTCCCCAAGGAACTACTGGAGCAGAGGCATTCACTATAACCTGCTGCATGAACCCACAAGCCCGAGTTTGAAAATACAGTGAGACGAAATAGAATTGAAACTTTCACCAGCAAGATGGGTACAGGCACCATCCATGTTTAGATGCCTTTTGATACCAGTTGGAATTTCTGTTTATGTTTAATTACATTCTCCTGGAGTGCATTGTAAACCCCATGACTTGCGGACATTAAAAAAAAAAATCCATCACTGTCAATTAAGCATGTCTGCATGTCACTGAGGAGTCTGCAGAGGTCTGAAGAAAGGTGGAGAGGGGAAACAAAGGCTGAGTGAGTGTCCAGGGATTGTTCCTGGCTCTTCAGTGTGAAATGCCCTGATTTTTTATCCATACATCCAAACACACACAGACTTTACCTCATCGCATACATGGAGAGCAAACATCAAGGACAGAAGGCCTGTGGAGGGGTATCTCCCATGATGCTCAAGCCAGTTTTCATAGATGTATTTCATAAAAGCTGGATTATAAACCAGGATCTAGGCAAAATTAAAGAGAAAGAATCATTAGTAAAATACCCTTTGAAAAAAAACAATGGTAGCATATCATTCCTAAAGGACACTGGGCCAGGGGAGTGGTAAGAAAGGAATAATAGTTGTTCCTTGAGGGCAGGTGAAAGGGAAAAATAAGTTACATATTAAGTGCATTCCGTTAATTTGAGTCTTCTGAAAGCAATGGGTATGAAATGGCACAAGTGAGATGGAAATTAGGCAGTAAGCATTCAACTCTCCCTGAATCACCCTGCAGGTGAGCTCTAGGGAGTTGGACTCCTGAGCAAGTCAAGCATGAGATGCCATGACATGCTTCACAGAATAATAGATTAATTTAGGTTGGAAAGGAGCCCTAAGATGGTCAGTCCAACTGTAATTTGAGTGGGAACACCAAGGCATGTCTTGGTATCTCTGCAGGCACAGATCTGAGGAAATCAAGGGTCAAATGTAAACCATAAGGAAGCCTTGCAGCTCGTGTAAGCTTCTTTTCTCCCATTTCCCAAACATGCCATCTTTCTGAGCTGTACACTTCTTTCTTACAAGGCATAAAATGTATTTGTTTATCTCACAGGGGTCATCTCACAGGGACAGAGCACTTAAGATAAGATCTGAGAGTCCAGTAAATCCAAGGATGGTGGGAGCCCTTGGTTTCAACCCCGTTCCCTGAATGAGGCAAACGGAGGCTTTTCCCTCCCTGCTGAGTCTGTAATTAGAGTGACAGCATTTCAGTGCTATCTGCTTAGCTGCAAGGCTTTTCCTTTTACAGAGTCAGAGGTTAATTGCTGATATTGCATCTGGGTGTAATCTCTTCTTGCAGGGTGGGAAGAAACTCAGCTCAGGAAGCTGCTGCATATCACCATACCCAGGGCTGTGATGAGAGTTTAGCAATCTGCCCTGCTGCTTCTCTCAGGGGTTTTGCAGAGGTTAGCACCCACCTCTCAACAGGTAAAGGATTATTCAATGCACCCTAGAGGCCCATGGCTTGAAGCAAAGGAAAATGAAGTGATCCTAGTTCAAGGTCTCACCTGAAGCCTTTGGCAGAGCTTGGCCTCTGGAATGAAGGGTGTGTGCTTTAATTTGTAATTTTAATGTTCTGGAGCTCATGCCAGACTTTAACAGCCCCTGACACTGGTGTTGTGCCTTTGAACATCAGTCTCTTCAAAGAGTGATAGAATGAGACTTTTATTTTTCTGGGAGCTCTGTGGAAGATATTCTTCCTCTCCCACACAGCCTGCCTTGGTTATATCATCAAACCCCACAGCTACAACAACAGAATTCCTTACAGAGTGGCCAAAGTTCCAACACGGGAATGAACATCCTGCCCCATGGGAAATCCTGCCTCCAGTCTGTCCCTGTGCAAAACTGGGAATGCTGGGTTCCAAATGGGAATGAACATCCTGCCCCATGGGAAAACCTGCCTCCAGTCTGTCCCTGTGCAAAACTGGGAATGTTGGGTTCCAAATGGGAATGAACATCCTGCCCCATGGGAAATCCTGCCTCCAGCCTGTCCCTGTGCAAAACTGGAATGTTGGGTTCCAAATGGGAATGAACATCCTGCCCCATGGGAAAAACCTGCCTCCAGCCTGTCCCTGTGCAAAACTGGAATGTTCCCTGGTCAGTGCTCTCATGCAAAATGTGGTTGAACATCGCCTGGGAGACCTGTAATACACCTGGAGCAAAACCTTCCTGGACTGGCCTGATCTCAGCCTCCAAGTTGTTTAATTGGGTACAGGTAATTACTGTAGCTGTGGGCTAAGAGCTACCACCAGGAACTCTCCACTGACTTGGAAACACACAGCTTTATTTGTTCAGAGTTCACTTAGCTCCTTATTACAAGCAACTGACCTGGGAGTGAGAAATATCCTTGCTGCTCAGATATTAATATTGTTTTTAAAAAAACCCAAAGTCTCTCCTCGGTTTCATTACATACAAATGGCTGCAATGGGTGGGAACAGAGCAATTGCTGTGGAGGACAACGCTGCACTTTTAATGTCCCTGAGCAGCACCAGAGGAAGTGATGCAACCTGCAGAACAGTGTTCATGCAACAGCATAGCCACAAGAGCAATTTCTTCCCAACCACAGTTATTTAGTGGTTGATCTATGGCCTAAATGGCACACAGGAGCCAAATCTTTAGCTGAGCCTTGTAAAGTGGCTGTATTTTGGTTTCAACTCTTTATGAATATCAAGGGCTTGCTTGGATTCTTGTAGTCTCCCAAAGAAGCAAAAGACCCCAAAAAAAATTAGCAAAACAAATCCACAGACCAACATTGCTCACCTTTTCTTTTTTGACTTTGATTTTCCGTGGAACTGGAACATATGTACTGTTAAAGGAAAAAGAAAGAGAGCACCAGCATAAATAAAGGCCCAATTTATTAGCATTTTCATGTAATTCCAAAAAAAGAATATTCTTCACATACAGTAATAAATTCAAATTATTTGAAAGCAGTAAATTCATGAAGTTGTTGTAAAATCAGGCTGCAATTAAGTAACACAGCAGGAAAAGAACTGAGCTGTCACTGCAGCAATTTTATGGGAAACCATTACGTTCTTAAACTTTCAAGTTAATTATTGACAGTAGGATACCAAAGATTTAGTTGAGAATTATCTGTAGAGTCAATACTATGTGGAGCTCGAGACTTCTAATTCGTGGATCATTACTGTTGGCACTCTTTGCACCTTGGAGATGGGAAAGACTTTTTATTTAATTTCTTGGCAGAAAAACCTTCTCCCACCAGGGGGAGACTTTTGCTCTCCTAACACTCGGAGTTCCCGCATGATTTCCAGAGTCGGTGGCAGCAGAGTTCCCCAGTCCTGGGGTTGTATGAAACTCATTCATTCCCAGTACACAACCCCTCACCAGAAAGCTATCTCCCTCCTCCCAAAGGCTTCCTGCAATTCCCAGCATAAAATTTCCGAGTTACACCTTATGTCTGGTTTGAAATCACGAGTTATGTGAAAACAAAAAAAAAACAAAACCACCCTTTTATTCCCCATATCTCACGCACAATGTGTGCTGGCATTGCACTGCTCGTCACGAGTGTGGCAAGAAAAAAGTCTTCCTGAGTTTGTTCCATGTGAAARAATCCTGGTGAGCTGGCCTTGTAAYTGGAGTATAGTCCAAAATATATCCTGCACACTTTTTAGATGGGTTGTGGTAAATCACCAAAGCCTTCCATTAGTTCAGTCTAAATGTTTTCACTTGGGTTTTGGTAATGACRAGGTTCCTGTCATTAAGCTTTTATGTTCTTTAATCCATGGGACATCATCAYTTTTAAAACTGAGTCTAAATCCTCCCAAGGCAGTGGTGACCTGGCAATGTTCTCCTGACCTGCARTCCCTGGTCTGGATCAGTCAGAGAGGTGATGGGTGGTTCCAACCCTCCTGAGATTTGATGCAAATGGGGAAAAGGACACTCATGCTGATTTTTTAATCTGCTCTCAGCAAATATTCCCTTGCAGGTGCTGCCCATGCCTGGCCTTGATCAGCAAATCMGTAAACATAGTCTTGGTGATCTCATGTCCTTTTTGTGCTTATGAAGACAAAAAGGGCTTCTTTGCTGGTAGAATCTCTTCAATATCATATAAATAGTCAATCTTTTCTAAAAGAGAGGTGAAGGAGACAAGAGGGCTGTAATTTATGGATAGATACAGCAGGAGACCAAAGAGATGGGCATGCAGTGTTCAACACAGYACTTGTGGACAACTCTGAACTAACCAGGACACTGCTGTAGCTCTTGTCAGTTGAAATATTAATAATTTTAACCAAGRGCTACTCCATTCTTTCCAAAGAAATGCCCAATACTGCTGTCACGTGGCTGCAGAATTCCATAAAACAACATGGAAAATACCGGCAGAATGATTAAGGCCAAATGCAGATCTCTGTAAAACCCAGGTTGCAGGGCAGGGATTAAGGGACCCAGGATGTTCCACACAGGAGTGGGACAGGGTGACAGCTGTGACAAAGGAGGTACAGACAATGTGACACATCACTGGGAAACATCTTCTGTGAGCAGCTCTGCAGGGCTCCAGGGAGCTCTGCCATCGTTCCTCCCACCTCGGACGAGACATTTACCGAACCCTTGGCCCAGATGTGCAAGGCTTTAAGGAATATAAAAATAGTCTTTGACAAACTAAGCAGAGCTTTTTTCACCATGCAGATTCCTAAAAGACTTGCAAGTGGAGGCAGCCAGGTTAAATACATGGCTGATGAGGGCCTGAAAGTTTCCTATCCCAGAAAAGGTGTTTCTTTGTCTTTCCTGGAACAATGCTTAATCATAAAGAGACAATTTTAGATGGAAATACATCAGTCAAATGGGACATGTCTGAGAGAATCAGTCAGCTATCAATTCAAGCTAATTTTAAGGCAATCTGCAGTTTGTCTTTTGTTTTGTAATGTAAAAATTGCAAGTATTAAAATACTACTGAGAGGAGAATATGTTTAAGTCACAGGTTTTGAATTTTAGGAAATTGKTTTTTCATTTGGATGGGATAGAGGAAATGAAACACTGTGTAAAWGTCTAACCAATACAGGATGCTTATCTTTTTTTTTAACTATGAGTACACGTAGGTTCTGGTTTGCCTAAACTCAGCTGACACTGTGCAGCCTGTGCACACAACACAATGGCCAAGCAGACCGGGGTAAGGAGATAAGTACTTCTTCCTTTCTAAAATACTGACTTTCAAATCTGTTTTATTTTTATTTCACGCCTTCTCCCTTTTAAAAATATGCACTCAGCAATTTCCTTATGCCCATTATCTGACACTGTGTGTTTAATGCACGCTCGTAGGTTAATTCTACAAGGCTGAAACTGTGTTACATACATTGTTATGATTTGTATGCTTATGATTTTCTGCTTTCATTATTCCAACTTATTAATTATGCAATTTCCCTGCTTTGAGYATGGCAAAAATCTTAAAATAGTGGYATTTCTTTCATGTGGTTAAATACTCACATATTAATTTAGATGCTTACCAAGCCCGTGCATACAATCTAATTATAAATACATAATATATCCTGTAATTTATTAAGMAACAATGTTTTCCCTTTCATGTGCTGTGCTTGCACTGCGGTCAGGCAGTTGTATTTTCCAAACCAGGCTAAGGGCTCCCTTGAAATCAGTGCAGAGCTCAGAGCTCAGGAAGTACCAAGAGCCTTCTACTGGGGCAGGGGCAAGCAGTGGACCTGCCTGCCAAACGTGTGTCCATGTGAATTATGGAACAATAGAATCATTTAGGGTGGAAAGACCTCTAAGATCAGTGAGTCACACTGTCAACCCAGCACTGCCAAGTCATCACTAAACCATGTCCCCAAGTGCCACACCTGCA